TCATAAAGTTGATAATTCTTCTAGACAGTTTCACTATCGTATAACATAGCACGTAGAAGGACGTTAACGACTCTAATATACCTACTGTCAAAATAATTGTTGACAATGCACCTTGAAATGAGAAAAACACCATTATAAACAAGATCCGTTGTGATCGTCGATGATACTCCAAGCTATGATGATTTATGGTGAATGAATATCCGTAATTTAATTCACTATTGCTAACTAGGCCATATTTGAATGTTTTTATGAAGTGCTTTCGTGGGATCGAAATATATTTCATTCTTTTTTTTTTATTTTTAGCTTTATTTTGTTTATTAATCTCAGACGCCGATTCATACTTTTGGACTACTTCATATGTGAACCGATATGTTTTATTAATGTATTCGACAATATGACATATATTTTAAAGGGACGCTTCTCCCCTCTCCCCTCTTTTCTGAACTTTTAGAGAATGGCTTATCAGCAACTTTTGAAACTTTTAATGTAGATAGATCCCGATGAGTATAGTAAAAGTTGCCATAGATTCACAATTCTAGATACTTTCCTATAAGAAGATATTGGAATCACAAGGACAAAAAAAATGACTTTCCTTGTCGTCCGTCTTTCTCCTGTAGTTGAGAAACAAGATTGTCCTTCCCTTTTTGTTTAAAAAAAAACTTGCTTTTCAAAAACAACGAACAAAATGTATAAACTTTGATGTCTTTCAGCGAAAATGTTCCATCTTTTCCAGTTTTTCAGCTTTTGCAGTTAAATATTAATTCTTGAAAGATGTTTTCTAGATAGAGCATACTTTGATACGTATACTGAATAGAAAAACACAAATAAAGTATCTAAAAATTTTCAATAGGGAGAGGAAGAATCTCCTTACTACGAAATCACTGTATAATACTACACGATGATCAACATGATCTTGATCGTTAATTTATCAAGATAAAGTACCACTTTTTGTATTTTCTCGGTTCATCAATTTTCTTGATAGGTAAGATCATAAATGATAAAACTCATTCTCGTGTATTGCAATACCCAATGTAGAATTCATTCATGTTATAATCCTACTGCTGTTCGTTCCATATCAAAATAATAGCTTGCAACCATTGCAACAATTCTAACAGACAACTCCAGTGTTTTTCGAATTCAAGATTGTCCTTGAAATCAACGTAGTTTTATTTATGAATTAGTTGATTAGTAAAAATTTTTGATTTTACTTCCATACATAGCAAGTATAATTATTGTGCTTGTACATTCTGTATTGTTCATTCGTGTACTTTGGATATAGCTTGTGTGGATTAATCTGTATGTGCAAATCTTATTTATGAAATAAAATATTTCGTATAATTTTACCAAGAATACATAGATTAATGCCTACACTCGAATGACAATTGATAAATGACGTAATATACAATAAGACACGATGCAAACAAGACAATATTCAATGAAATTAGAGCTCTAATATTCTTCTTCATTTTTCGACAAAACTAGCTCTAAAAGTACGCAATTTACGTTTGAATGGAAATGGCTGCGTAGTATAGAATGATGGGTGACAACCGTAAAAATAACGACAGATCAATATTGATTTTTATTGTTCATGATAAAAATTCGGCAATGTTATTGACGAAATCCAATACTATCAAAGTGTAACTATTGCCACCTTGTTGTTCTCTTTTTTTTTCGATCGACTTATTTATAGTGATGATATCACGGATCATTCGTCTGTGAAAATGGTACCACGACTAATAAACGATATTTTTTTTCATATCTGCCCTCTATCCTATTGTGGTTTCATAACAACATGTATTGGTTAAAAGGAATATAACATTTAACAGATGCAGTGCTTTCCGTATGAAAATTGACTATACTTGTGTTACTTCTCTCCTAGTCTAATTATAGATGACGGCTAGTAAGTTATTGGCGTGAGACTCGTAAAAAGTTCTAAATTCAATTCAAAATAATTGACCTCAAACAAGCTATTAGGCTGAGTATGTTTAATTTGTCTGCATTGAATTCAATCTAGAGTTGTTCCTACTGGAATGTACACGAAGATCATAACAGATTTTGTTTAGAATAGTGCTTTTTCCATTTCATGAGGGATCGTCAACGATTATTGTGAGGGTAGTGATATTCGAATTGTTAATAATCGTTTAGATGCTATTTTATAGAATACCGTAAATTTTATATTAACTCCTTAAATTGAAATACTTTTTCTAGATCGAAAACCTGACGATTATCAAATAGATTCATAAAATGATGAAAGCTGGACAGTAATAGATTCGATCGTTGAAATAACTTTATTTGATAATATATTTATATGACTTCAATTATTTATTATTCATGGCTTTTTTAGATTTTTTCCGGTCAACGCTATAGAACATTTTTAAATGTGTTTTGCATTATGTAGATTGATTCATGTGAATCATTACTTATAATAATAAGTTTGAAAGAAATTTTTCTTAATGTTTGCAACTCTATTAGTTTTCATCCATTATTAGATTCGCAGATTTTGTTATCAACCAAATTTGCATTGAGAAGAAAATCAGATCTAATTTACAAAAATCTATATTTCACGTAGAAATAGGAAGAAGATATGAAGTCATGGAAAATCACAGAGTATCTACTTGAAGTTTTTTCCATATTATTTAGCTGCATTTAAAAGAGTTTTTGCGTACTGATTTAGATTAGAATAACTCCAGATAATATACGATGTCGTTATTATTGGTGTGACGCTTTTCTATAATTTATAAACTGCGGAAACCATCAACCATCGATGATGATTCTTATGATTTTGTGAATAGTTAGTTAGACAGATGTTAAAACTTCTAGATCACTGAATAAGCTGATATGATAATATTTTTATTGAAGAATGAACAAACTTTGTCGCAAAAATCGACAGTAATCACATTAAAACGTTCCGAAAGATTACAGAACTTAGATAGACTCATGGATCAGTGATGTTCACTAAAATCGATCATAACAATGGCTGCCACATTTTCATAGCGTAATATAATTGTATTTTCTATATTCACATTCAAATAAAAACAAAAACGATTTGATTAACTTTACATGTGATTTATTCTTTCTGTTTCTGATCTTCCATGTATCCAATTTCTTATTAATATTTCCGGATATGATCGATTTCAGACCAGATTAGTAAAACTACTGGTAGCTTTTTATAAAGAATTTTTTTTCGATAATTCAATAGGATTGTCCACATTGTTTTTCAAAGAGAAAATGACAAGACAAATAAATTTGATGATATAATTAATACAAAGAATACAAAGAAATGAAATGCTTACGGTTAATTTTTGAAATAAGATTCTTGTTTTGAACATAAATTGTTATAAATAATGAATCGAAGTTTTGTATTAATTTTAAATTCGAAAAAATTCGTTTCCAGATTAAAAAAAATCTCTCAAGAAGAACGTTGCGAAAAAAAAGAAACAATATCTAGGAATATTCAAATGTCATCATATGTTAATGAATATCAGCCGCCTTCTTTTTTCTAGTAAATGGTCTCTAGCTATCATTTAACTGTTAAAAAGTATCTCGATGAAAATCGAATTGGTTGTACATTACCTGAACATATTCAACGAGGATGGGATCGTATGTATATTTTTCGTATTTATTAATATACATATATATATAAATAATATATTCTTAGGAATCTACACACTCGAAGAGCAACAATTCAATACACGATCATGTATAATTGGACCTGATGTTCAAATTCCAAATTCAATTGTTCGTAAACGACTAGGCACCACACAAATGTTAATGAAAACCAATATTGAAATTTTACGAAAAGCATTCGAATTACCTAATGAATTATTTATAAATTTATCTGATGAACATAAATTGTTCGACATAATCGAAGATGACCAACTTAGTTTTGAATGGAATGATGAAGATAATAATAATGAAATAAAACATCAAAAATCAGCAATTGATATAATTCTTAATAAACAACGTGAAAAAAGACGTAAATATGAAGATTATAAATATGATTATGATAATATTGAACCATTATCAATTTATGATATAATTGAAGAAATTCATACAAATATTGAAAAAAATTTAAACAATGAAGATTTAAAATTAATTGCAGATTTAATGCAAATAATAAGTCGACATAACAAAAATCAAATTATGAATATTTATGATGAATTAACTAATGTTCAATTGATTAGTAAATTTGGTGGTGTTCCTAAATTTGTACAGGTTATAAAATTGAATCATTCAAAAAAAGAATTATATAAATAAAAAGATAACGAATGGTCTATAAAAAATGAGGATCTCCATATTTTCGCAATATCTCCTTCAGTTTCCATAGATTCGGACTGAACTTTTTCAAAAGATTCAATGTTTAATTTTCTACAAAATCATATGACAAATGAGTATCATAGAGATAAAAGCAAGCAAAATAGTTACTATAGTAATACTGCTGACATACAATATCAACAACTTCCAAACAGAAAATACAATTGTTCTGTACTTATGTGTTTTCATGTCGAACTATATAGATAAATTTGGATAATCCATCTTGTAGAGCTTCGAAAGCTCTATCTTGTTATTATATTCAAGAATTTCCATAACAAAAGCTGATTACATAAAATAAGCATTACTTTGTTTTTTTTTCAAATTAAAACAACTCGGATTTTCTTTTATTTGAAATAAATAACGTTTATTGAGTTATGAAAATTCTTGAGTGTAGTAATAAGATAGAACTTTTGAAGCTCTACAAAATGGATTGTACAATTTGTTCAAATCTGTCTATATAGTTCAATATGAAAATCAAGAGGGAAACGACGTCCTCGCATGTTCGCCGAAGTACGAGAGTGCAGTGGGAGTACACTGACAACAGAGTCCCGTCGTACAATGTTAGTACAGTTTTATAACTAAGGAAAATCGAGACCTAAATCTAAAAAGATACCGATATACTCGCACTTTACGCACTCCCATTGTACTCCTACTGTACTCCTCTTCTATTCTAGGGTGTAGCGGAGTACGTCGTTTCCTTTTTGCATGAAAACACAAAAGACAAGACAACAGTATTTTGTGTGTTTGGCAGTTGTTGATGTTGTGTGTGCAGTGTTACTATAGTACTATTTTGCTTGCTTTTATCTCTATGATATCCATTTGTATATGATTTAGTAGAGAATTGAATACCAAATCTTTTGAAAAAAGTTTAGTCTAAAACTATGAAAACTAGAGAAAACATTGAGAAAATACGGAGACTGTCATTTTTGATGCGCCACTCGTTACTATTTTTGTTTGCAGGCTTTACAAGAAATTCAAAAAGCATTTGAACAAGTAGCTATGAAAACCAATCTAATTTCTATTGAAACTGTTCTTAATGTATTACTTGAAAAAGATAATACATATCGTTTAGCAATGGAACTATTGAAATCATTTAATGAAAACATTAAAAAAACTAAACAACAACAAATATTGAAATTAGAAGATAAGTCTGGTAAACACCTTACATCAATAGAAACAAACAATAGAATTCGGTTCAGAAAAATTAAACAGAAAAAAAAACTTAACATCCAAATGTTTCGTCATGTAAAATCTTAATACTACATTTTGCTTTTTTTTTTGATAGGCGATATATCTGATCATGATCAAACTGTATTCAATATTTTAATGAAAGATCGTATTAGTCGATTATGTAAGTTGACTATTTGCTCATTGTTTTTTATTGACTCTTTTTTTTTTCTTCAAGCTGCATCGGATTTGACTATGTTAATTCATGATTTTGAAACAATTCAAAATATTGATACAACTAAAGTGGGTAATGATCGTGATGGTCTAGTAAACTTTATATCCGAACAATTGAATATTATTTTTATACGTGCACATCTTGATGGAATTAAAACAATTTTTCATGCAATGAAATCATCTATTGGTGTTTCATTAAAAGATTTTATTGATAAAATTGAAAGTAGTCTAACAACTAAATTAACTGAACATGATAGTATTATTATTGAATCATATATTCATGATTATCTTTCATCTTTAGTAAGTGAAAATGATTTGAAAATTAAAAAAACATAAATAATAACAATATTAATTTTCTCATTGACCAAATGAGTTGTTTTTCCTTAGACTAATAATGAATTGAAAATTATCTATGAACGTTTAGCACAACAAGGTGTTCTTCAACGTATTGCAATAACTGGAGAATTAAATCAAACGATCACACTGAATTTAATGAAAAAGATTGATACAAATGGATTAGATGCAGTCATTGAATCTATGAAAAATGTTCAACTAGATAATGACTTCATGAAAGAACTTATAGAAGCATTAACGAATATCAATCATTATATTCAAACTCAATCATCTATTTCACTTGATCAAATTCAAAATCAATTGGGTTTTATTTTTTTTTAAATTGACTATCATTAATTATGATCTTGATCTTTTATATAGGTATGGCATACTTTGTTGAAACACGTAATCTTAGCAAACCTGATATTCATGAATTATCTAAAGCAGCTGATTTATATTCTATTATTCATATAAATCTTACTGAAAAAGCGACTATTGATGAATGTTCAACATTTCTCGAACATTTGAAAGCTCCATTTATACGTATATGTATTCAACGAATTTTAGATTTAATCAAACAAGATAATACTATTAATTTGGATAAAGTATCAAATAAATTTTATAATGAACGTATTATTGATCTAATCAATGAATTAATTTATGGATCTGATGAATTTAATCGAAATTTATTTATTCATCAAATTAAAAAACATTTAAAGAAAAATAAAGAATTACCAGATAAACTCTATCGACAAATGTTAAAAGAAAAATTCATTCATATTGATACTAAAATTAAAATAGATACAGATAAAAAGAAAGTTTCAACAATTATCAATGAAATAAATCGAATTTTAATTAATGTAGAAGATCGAATAAAACAAGAACATCTAGTGGACTTATTTGATAGAATAGATGTGTAAGTACAGTATTTGCAAAAAGTTCCGTTGCTAGATAAAAAGTACCTCAAGTTTAATCCCTAAGTCTCATAGTTTGACCACAAATAGATCATGTTGAACTCTGATTGCAAGAACTAATCGGCCTTGATCTGAAAGAGCTAGAAGGTCAACATAGATTTTTTCTTCAGACAAGGATATCTCAACATAGAAAACAAATCTCATGACATTAAACCCTTCATTCGACAGCCCAATGCTGCATTGGTTCACAAAGAATTAAATTTATCCCGACCCATCTTTTCTATAGATTTTCATATATTTTAATCCTTTTAATTATTCTTATCCATCATCCTCTACTTTTTTTGGTCCTAGGGAAAAAAAAGTGTTTTTATCGTAAATCCTTTGTAACCCTATCGACCTTAGATTGTTGCTTGCGATCAGAGCTTACCAAGCTCTATTTGTAGTCAAAATATCAAGCAAAATGATTGAAGTTTATGTACCTTTCACTTGGTAGCGGAACTTCTAACGACTACTATAAATGACGAATTTTTGAAAACAAAAACAATTCTAAAAAAAAAAGATTAGTAAAAAGTTATAATCTATTTTTTGTGGATAGAACTTTTCCTGAACGTGTCAAGCATTGGTATAAAACTAAGTCAAATATCCAAAAATTGCAAATTTCTGCATCCAATATTCAGAAAAATATGATCGATGGAAAAAATAATGTCAAAACAAGAACAAAGGTTCTTCATTCGAAAAATAAATCCATTATACTAAGTCTAGCTCCTTCAATACATCGCATTACTGATAAATCAATCAGCTCACCAACAAAAACTTTAAAAGAACGAATAACACGAAATATCAAAGATCAGTTGTCAACAACTACAGCTGTCACCTCTACGAAGTATAGTAGTGAACAAAAAAGATCTTTGCTAAAGTCTGGACCAAAGCTTCAATCAATAACACAAATAACAAAAAAGCATTCCAAAATTCTTGATGATACCAAAAAAACCAATAATTTGTCTATTGACAAAGATGAAAAGGAAAAATTGAAATTCAATGCTCGAATTTCATTAGCATTAAAATCAGAAGAACAACAAAAAAGTACTCTAGGTATTGCCCGTGAACAGCCAGTCTTATTATCCCCAACACCAATAACAACAGATACAATTAATATGACTAATGTTTCAAAACCTCCAAGTGAAAGTAAGAATTTCAATTATTGAAATGTAATATATATAATTAAAGTTCATTATCTTCTTATCTATAGGTGACTTCATTGAACCAAATCAATTATCATTCACATTAGCGCAAACCACAAAAGTAGTCTTTTAATCCATTTTTCTGATGAGAAAAGTCATGAGTTCGCATCTTTATCATATTGCGGCAAAAATATAGCATTTTTACGTTAGTTTCTAAGTCGATGTCATGATCTCTCTGAGGAACACGAGAAAAATTCACTTTCAAATTTCGACTTGAAACTTTACATCAAGATAGACTTTACCGAGAAGAGTTTCTTGTGAAAGTTTCAGATCTATTTGTTGTTCATATCCTAATATATGACCATAATAAAGAATGTGTCGTTTACATCGCTCATATATGCTGTTAGATTCGATATTCGTATTTCAGAATAGACCCAAAAAATCAAAAGATCTAAAGCTTTCACCATAAACTATTCTCGTTGAGGTCTGTCACTGTGTAAAATTGCAAGTCAAAATTTGAAAACTAGTGTTCTTGGTGTTTCTGAGGGATGCCACGACATTGACTTGAAAAATACCGCAGAAATTCAATATCTTCACAGCAATAAGCTACGAACCTGAACACTCTTGAGAGTATTCATCCTTTAGAAGACTCTACATGATGTATATAATCTCAACTCAAACGTGATTAACCAGTTAGGAAAATTGTCTCATAAACCAAAAAAATTTAAATAAACTTCAGATTAAATCGATTCTGTAGTTTTATATTTATTGAAATAAAACTTTTTAAAAAATGATGACGCGGTAGGAAACAATCGAACATATCAATTCTCTTGTATTCAAACAGGAAAAAAGTCAAGAAATAGACAATGAACAATCAAATACAATAAATACGACTATTGACTTTGAAAGACAGCAGACAAATGTACAATTTGATTTGAAAATCAAAGCCAAAGAAATATCTGATTTATTACAACAACCAAATGAATTGCATGAAGAAAATTTTGAAAAACCTGATACATCATTTATTGTAAAAAGCATCGAAACATTCCAAGGTGATCTTGAAATTATTCGACCTGAAACGATTTCTACTGGTCAGTTGAATGATTTTAATGCAGTATCAATATTCATAATTGTTCATATATAGGTAAAATGAATGAAAATAAAACTCTCAATTTTGAATTAAATTCAAATGCAGCTCTTCTTTTCTATCCTCCATCTGTATTAAATGATTCAAAACAAGAAATAAATACAATTGTAAGTGGTAGAATAGCAGAATTTGTAAATGATTCACAATTTGTCAAAACAAAAGCACAACGATTATTTGCTAAAACAATACCAACAAACATTGTTCGTCAACCAATTGAAGAAGATACAATCGATAGGAGTTCATCATCGTCAAATCTTACAACCAATAATGCAGAAACTATTTCCGTACGTGCAATTGTATTCTCTCGAGAATTTTATTTAAAAACAAAAGATCTTATAGGAAATAATTATTTTTTAATTTCTCTCTATTGTATAGACTGTAATTGAAGCTCGAAAATTGTTAGGCCCATCAAATCGACCATCTGATGAGCCATCAATACCTATTTCAACGCTTCCATCTGATAATATTAAATCATCTGCTAAAACTCTTCATCGTAATCTTCCTAAATCAATAAAAAAAATTGAAGATATTTATATAAATTCTTTAACAAAAGCTTTACGTAACTTATTTACTCGTTCAGAATATCATAGTGTAAAATTACAAAAAATTCATGAAGAACTTATTACATCCGGTCATATATCACCATTAAATGAATTCTATCGTTCACCAAGTGAAGCTTTACGTGTAACACTTGATCATTGTAGTACTTATGCTGATTTAATTAAATGGACATTATCATTATTACAAACAAATAATAAACGAAATTTAATTGATTTTGGTCATGATCTTTATTCGATTGCAATTGATTTAGATTTTGCATTAATTGAACGTATTGATAATACACGATGTGCAATTGATATACAAGAAAATCTCAAATATGAATTACAAACAATTACTGAAACTGATTTACGAGGTATATAATAAATAAAACTTTTAATAAACAATTATTTTGTTTATATATATATATATATATATATTTAAAGAAATTAATTCTTACTTAAATGCTTCTCAATTGGATAAACTAGTTCATTTATCAAAAAAGCTTAATGTTATTTCAAAAGATCGTATGATATCGGATCTTAATTTATTACTTCTTCATCTTATTCAAGTTTGTCATACATTCGAACTTAAATATCGTCCCATGCAAACACGTATTCGTGTATGTCGATTTTCAATAATCAAAATCAGATCTATTCGATATATATGTTTATGTGTTAGCGTTCAATCGGGAATTCGACATTGAATGGACATTCATTTAGATCATTCTTGAATTGATCAGCTAAAATACGTCTAATCGAAGATTGACCGGAAAATTTTAGGCGAATTGAAAGCTTAATATGGTCAATCTCGTATTGACAAACATATTGTATGAAAGCAAAAGCTAACCATAACACATGAAATTTTATTTGCAACATCTAACCAAAAGCAAATAACACAAAAACAATCAACGAAGAGCGTGGGTATACTTGCTCTTCTCACCATACTTAAATCCTTCATTGGTTTTTTTTTGTTTTATTTTCAGGCAAATCTTTGTTTGGACGTATTGTAACTAATTAATTCAAGAAAGGCTTGACTGAATATTCGTCCTATGTTGGATCTCAGATTGGACGCATATATACACCCCTGGAAAAAAGAAACTGCATTTAGTATTTTAAAGAAATCTTTTCTATAATAAGATATTTTTAAAAAAATAATGATATGCTCTGAACGCCCGCGGAGTTTTCTATCACCCTGTATAATTAGGTCTTCATTTAGACTTATTTATTATGAAAATAAATTTCATGTAACGAAAGCACCATCATATCCAGATTCTCACGGGTTTGATTTTGTCACTGTCATCAAAATAAGTTTTTGAAATTTTTTATTACTATAGAATTATCTTTTTAAAAAAGCAATCATATATTCTGATAGCGCTTGAAATTTTCTATTTTTCTATATATTTGGTTACTGTCTTGCACTTATTTATTATCAAAATAATTTGAGTATAATGATGACTACCTCAATTGACAAGTACGAAAATTGGCCGTTTTTTATGCTTTTTCGAATTGTACGTACAAAGGAAATAAGTTTTTACAAAAGTCATTATGTATGCTGATAGAGCTTGAAATTCTCTATCATTCTATATATTTTTTGTCTTATCTTATATTTATATGGTGAAAAATAACTGAAGTAGTATTTAAACATCCATTTTAACGAATCTTAAAAAACTGTATTTTCTCTTATCACTATCCTTTTTATTTCTAGTTTGTTATCACGTTTATTATTACTTCAGATATAAATTTTGAAACAAATAATTATATCTTCTAACAATGACTTATTTCCTCGATCATTTTGAGCGTGTGAAACAAAAAACGAAATAGATAGACAAAAAAATCCAGTTTTTTTTACAGTTTGTCAAGGACCATTGCTGCATAATACTCAAATTATTCTTCAGCACATATATGCAACATAAGACAAAACTATATGAAATGATAGAGAATTTCAAGCTCTATCAGAATGCATAATTACCTTTGTAAAAACTTATCTCCTTTGTACATATAATTGGACATAAAAAATCAAAAAAAGTAACCAAAAACGTGAATGTTTCGTACTTGTCGATTAAGGATGTCATCATTATACTCAAATTATTTTGATAATAAATAAGTGCAAGACAGTAACCAAATATATAGAAAAATAGAAAATTTCAAGCGCTATCAGAATATATGATTGCTTTTTTAAAAAGATAATTCTATAGTAATAAAAAATTTCAAAAACTTATTTTGATGACAGTGACAAAACCAAACCCGTGAGAATCTGGATATGAGGGTGCTTTCGTTACATGAAATTTATTTTCATAATAAATAAGTCTAAATGAAGACCTAATTATACAGGGTGATAGAAAACTCCACGGGCGTTCAGAACATATCATTATTTTTTTTAAAATATCTTATTATAGAAAAGATTTCTTTACAATACTAAATGCAGTTTCTTTTTTCCGGAGGTATATATTATTTTCTCTTTTATTTTTGTTTATAGGAAATAGCCGAAAGATTTAAATCTCGAGCTGTTACTGATCTTGTACGTAAATTAGATGAAATTGAAAAACGTTTAGCAAAAAATTTTTCAATAACATTTCATGGTCTTAGTAAACGTATGAATGAATCACGATTCATATTAATGAAATAAATATGACAAAATCATAATCATAGTTTCTTTTTCTGAATAATAAAATTTTTTATTTGTCTCCTTGTCTAAGACAAATATTCGGTGGTATTTTTTTTTCTTTGTTCAATAAAAAAAAACGAAAGAAAGAAAGAAAGAAGATAGTTCATATATCTGTTTTATTTTCGTAATCGATCCAATTTGTTAACATCATGTAATATTGATGATATTGATGAATAATATGAAAGTAAATCATTAAGTGATGTTCGATAATGTTGATCAATCATTGATAATTCTAAATCGATTCGTGAAAGTGTTGTTAATTCAAGAAGAATATCAAAACAAAATTTTATATATGAAAACTGTAATATGATAGATGTATGTTCTTGTTGATAACGTTTTTCAGCATTAACCATTATTCGACAAGCATTAATAATTGTTTGAACTAATTTTGATGTTGCTGAACTAGTTATTTTGCATAAACCTTTTGTTGGTAAACGAAGAATGAAAGAACATTGACCTTTAATATCATTAGATTTTAATGAATTTAATTTTTGTCCAAATTCATATAATGTATTTGCTGAAAATAGAGGTAATTTTTGTATGCGAATTTGTTCAAGTTCTTCATATGAAAGATTATTATTTTCTTCAATAATGATTGTTGATTTTGAATTTTCCATATCAGACATTGATAATGATGATGATGGTTTAGATGTTGTTGTATTTATTAGATTAGCTCGAAGTCGTCTCATTTTTCGTGGTATTTGTTCATGTCGAGATGTATAATATTCAGCAAGAACAGTTTGATTATTTGGTTGTAATTTAATTAAGTTTTTCAATGTTGTTTCATATAATTGATTATTACGAGACATTTTATATGCACATGCTTTACGATATAAAGCACGTACATTAATTGGATCTATTTCAAGTGCTTTATTACAATCATCAATTGTTTTTTGTGGCTAAAAGAAAGTTTTGTTTTTATTGTTAAGGATAACACCGAATAAGATCGTCAATCTGCAACCCCTTCTATGTCATTTTCAATAGAATAGGAAAGTAGACAGAAATATGACAAATTTCATGCTCTAATCCTTTTATTCTATTGAAAGTGAGATCTAAGAAGGTGACAGATCGATAATCTTATTCGACTATGTTCTTTATTATAATTTGAATTATACCTCGAATACTTTTAAATAACATGCAGCTCGATTTGAATATAAAGATCCAACCTCTGGTTTAAGTTCAATACAATATGTATAACATCGAATAGCAAGAACAAAACAAGCATCAAGATAAAGTTGATTACCACGTTCTCGATACCAATCATATTGATTTTTATTCGAAAATTCATCTTTAGTTTTTATGTATGTTAAATAACGTTCATCATCATTATTATCTTTTGGTAATTTTTCTTGCCATGTTTTACCTTCTATTTTATTTAGTTCAATAGTCAATCTAAATATAATAATTGATTCGATTAAAATCTCTGTATAAAATTTTTAATACTTACTTTTCACATGCACGTTGTGCTAACGTATGACTATAATCAGTAGATGGTACACGTGCATAATCAGCATAACTGAAAAGAAGACTACAAAGAAAAATAAAAAAAACATGCAAATCAGTTTTCTTTTAGTAAAAAAAAAATCAAAACATACTTTTTTTCATTTTCAAATGCTCTCGCTCGACAAATCAATGCATCTGTATCCATTTTATTATATTGTAATGCTTCGCTTGTATATTGTATAGCATGTACGTAATTATTAGCTTTTAAATAACAATTAGCGCAAATAATTAATGTACTCACAATATGATCTGCATGATTGTGATAATCTAGAAACAAATAAAAACAAAAAAAAAAGAATGAAATAAATATTTTTAATTGATATTATATAAAAATCTAACCGAGTACACCATTTTTAAGCATTTTTTTCGATGCATCAGTAGTATTTCTAACATCATTTAATCCATTATATTTTTGAATATCACGATAAAGACAATTAAGTGTCGAAGGTCGAGAAGATTTTGACCATAATTTATCATGAAATGTTGATGAACGATTATTTGATTGTGATTTTATTGAATCACGTAACCAATTTTGTATAGTAGAACTAAAATTTGAATTCGATATTTGATCATTATAAGAATTAGTTATTGTTGATCGTTGTTGAGTTGATATATTATGAAAATGATCGTTAGTTTCAAATGGATTTGAAGATATCTAATCAAAAAAAAAAAATTATTCAATTAAATAAACAACTAAAATATCCTCCGGGCAAAAAAGTTAGATTTAATATTTTTAATATGTCACTGCTATAAATTAATATTCTTACAAAAGTAATTATATATTCTGATAGCACACGAAATTCTCTACAATTATATATATATTAGAGCCCTTCGGATCCATAATTGTCGAACCCGAGCGAACCGTACTCGATACTTTCAATGATATCTTCTAATCGAAATAGGATACCGTCTCGAAGATACGAGATACTTTTTTCCAATTTATTGTATTCATTGACTAGTGTACTCTACACGTTTCTCAGACGAGTTATCTGAGAAATGTGTCGAGTAGAGTGCATCGGCTTCAAAGTTGTCGGACTCAGCCGAATCCATGTCTAGGACCAATCCGACAGGCTCAAAGATACGTATGTTTTGAATTGCATTCGTTCGCTAAAATAGAAATTCAAGTACAATGAAAGCATTCTTGTCATCAAATTCTCCATAAATACATTTTTTGTTTTTTTTTTCAAATTTATTCTAATGTAGGAACAAGTTATTACAAAAGTAAGTATAAATTCTGAAAGCAGGTGCAATTCTCTATCATCCTATACTTTTGCCAGTTTTGAGTTCTAATTATTAAATGACAAATATTTCGAATGTTGTCAATGTACTCTACTTCTGACTCCTTCACTTTTGAGTACTCCACATAACTAATTAAGCAATCTACGATTGGTTATCTAATAATCACATAAGATGTACAGGTAATTATACACTTGTCAGCCCTGATCTTAATTTGATTCAGAGTTTTTTTGCCTTGAATGAATCATTGTACACAGAGATATTGTCAAGCTCAACAACACTTAACATAGAAATATAATACGTGAGTACCATAACAATATTCGAAATATTAATTGAAAGTCAAGACTGACAAAAGTATAGAATGATAGAGAATTTTACGTGCTTTCAGAATATCTATCTACTTTTGTGACAGCTTGTTCCTATTTTACAATAAATTTTAAAAAAATAAATGAAAAAGAAACAAACAATGTATATTCAGAGAATCTAACAATAAGAGTGCCTTTATGGTACCTGAATTTCTATTTTACCGAACACATCCAATCCAAAACGTACATATATATGGCTGTAGAGAAATTTCAGACTCAATCTGAATATGTTAGTAATTTTGTAAGAATATTAATTTATAGCAATGATATGTTCAAAAAATATTAAATCTAACTATTTATTCTTCCCAAGTATATATAAATAACTTACTGAAGTTTGTTTATATGATGAATATGTAGTTGATGCTGTTGTCATATTATTATTATCATATAAATCATTATAATCATCATTTGATATAGCTGAAAATTCTTTACGATTATTATTATCATTTATTGTATATATAGTAGTTTCATCAATTGCACTACTAGTTATTATTTGTTTTGTTGGTGGTGTTAATGGTGGTGTACGTAATGGTTTCTGATCGATTAATTCTGGTGGATCATCATCATCCATTGTTGGTGAAACATTTAAATTATGTGAAATATGACCATCATCATCACTCATATTTCCTGTGAAACCAGCACTAGCTTCATCACCAAGTGCCATATCATCATCATCATCATCATCATTATCAATAGCTCCAGTATCGAGAGATGATATTTGAGAATGAATATTTTGTTGAAATTGATTTATATTATCACAATGTTGAAAATGATTATCAAACATAGTTGGCGAAGCTTCGTCAGGATCTATACATGGACGTGAATGAATATTTGATCTTAAAATAAAAATTTAATATTTTTAAAAAAATTTAAAAAGATTTATTTGATTACTTTTGTGGAATATCAATATTCATGGATTGAATCGATTCATTGGTAGTTTTCTGTTGTTCTTGTTCTTGTTCTTCTTCTTCTTCTTCTTCTTCTTCTTCTTCTTCAACTTCCAAGATTGGAATTTTGACTGGTGCTGCCTAGGAAAAATCGTTTTTATTTAATATAATTTAATATAATTATTTAAGTTACAATTGATGGTTGAGTATTAACTTCTTCTTCATCATCACCATCATCTTCAGTAATAGGTACACGAACACCTTTTGTCTTTTGAACAGTTGGAATTGTTTTCAATAGATTCTAAAAATAAATAAATAAATAAATAAATAAAAGAGATTAATTTTAGCAATGATTAATGTTCATAAACTATTCGTATTATTTTATACGAATGAGAATCTATAGAATTCATAAATTTTCTCTCTATTTTGTTGACATATTTGTTGTTATTCATAAAGAAAAAAAAATTTTTTACTTTTGCTTCATCATTTTCTTGATCGACAGTGAGAAGAATATCAAGATCACGTTTAGCTTCATCATATTGTTGTTTAGCAATTAAACATGATGCTCGACGAAACAATGCTATAAAACCAAAAATATAAATTTTTAAAAAAAAAGAAAACTTTTATTATTTTATGAATAAACCTTTGATATGATGTGGATTGGTTGATAATATTTGAGAACAATCCGTAATTGATGCATCATAATTGTTCAATTTATAATCTAGAGAGAGAATACGAATAGAATAGATAATTAATGAAGAATAGATTTTGATTACTAACATGCTATCGCTCGATTCATATAAGCCATCGGATTTGTATTATCAAGCATAACACTTTTTGTATATAAATCAATTGATTGTTGATAATTATTAGATTTAAATGCAATATTTCCATTTAGACGATGTTGTTCAGCCATATGAAGACGTTGACTTTTCTCATGAATTGGATTTAAAGGATGAGATTTATTTGC